TGATTTACTTGGTGCTGATAACATTTTAGAACAAGAAAAGTGGGTTAACGCTGATGTTGTTAAATGCTCTGATGAGTTGGTTGTTGTCCTACATGAAGGGGAAGCTATTTCTTCTAATTCTTCAGAAAGAGTTCTTAATAATGGCATTAATCCTATTATTATTCATGATAATTTTCCTATTACTAATGCTGATCCTACTGTTATCTCTGTTAAGCCTCCTCTTACTAATGTTGTTCCTAAATCTCCTTTGTCAGATAAAAAAAAGTTGAATGTTTTCTCTAATGAGGATGGTGTGCTGTTTTTGGAAGCTGAGAGTTCAGCAATGGATCCTTCGGTTGGTAAGATTAATAATGATTTCCCTTTAACTGATCATTTCAATTGTGATGCTTTTATTGACACAGAAATTGAAATAAATGCTAAATGTTATGCTAGAATGGATAATGATCTTAGCTTTACTAAAAGTTGTGGGAAGATAGGTAGAAACCCTAGAAATGTTATTTTGCAATCGCCTAGGAATACCCGTTTACATACTACACATTAATGTTATTCTTATGATTAATACGATTATTTGGAATGTAAGGGGGATCGGTTGCCCTTCCTCTAGACTTCAGGTTAAAAATTTATGTCGTATTCATAATATTTTTGTTCTTGTTCTGCTTGAACCTCTTATTTCTATGGACAAACTTTTTAATACTGCTAAATTTTTGGGTTTTAAGCATGCTTTTGCTAATGTTTCTAACAAAATATGGGTGTTCTGGAAAGAGTTTGTTAGGGTTGATGTTATTGGTAACTTTGTTCAAGTGCTGCATTGTAATATTGAATCCTTAAACTTTCAATGTGTTGCTTCTTTTATTTATGCATCTTCTTCTCTTTTTTCTAGGAGAGTTTTGTGGGAGCAAATTGAAAATTTCAATAGTATTTGCACTTTACCTTGGATGGTGGGTAGTGACTTTAATACCATTACCATCCCTTCTGAGCGGGTTGGGGGTTCCCATCCTATTTTTCAATCTAACGATGACTTTAATGATATGATTATGAACTGTAATCATATTGATATTGGTTTTTCTGGCAATAAATTTACTTGGAATAGGGGTAATCTTTGGCAAAGGCTTGATAGAGTTCTTTTTAATAATGCTTGGGTTAATGTCTTTAACTCTTCTAAGGTGGTGCATTTGAGTCGTACCCTCTGATCATTCCCCTCTGCTGATTAATGTCAATTATAAAATGGTGGGTTTGAATTCTCGGTTTAGATTTCAGAACATGTGGTTAACTCATGATTCGTTTCTTAATGTCGTGCAAACTAATTGGTTGGCGCCTATTTTTCCTGACAACTCTATCACTGGCATGCCTCGACTTTGGGTTAAGTTAAAAAGGTTAAAGATGGTTCTTAATTGGTGGAACTGGCATATTTTTAAAAATATTTTCTCCAATATCAAGGAGGTGGAAGAGAAGATCAATGGTCTTGAGGACTGTTGTCAAATTGATCCTACGGCTGCTAATTGTGCTGTCCTTAATGAGGCTAAATTGGCCCTTAGTAAACTTCAATGTCAAGAAGAGATTTTTTGGAAAAAAAAAAAGGCTTCTATGAAACACTTGATAAAAGGGGATAACAACACTAGGTATTTTCATGCTTTGGTTAATAAAAAACATGCTATTAATGGTATTCACAAATTTGCTCGTGCGGATGGTTCCTTTACCGAGAATGAAGAGGAGATAGCTAACCTGGCTATTACTTTTTTTTCAAAATCATCTCAATAATAACTTTTGCCCTATTAAAATTGAAGATCATTCTTTTATTCCTAATATTGTGACTCAAGAGGATAATGTGAGCCTTTCTTTGTGCCCTCTTATGGAAGAGGTTAAGAATACTTTATTTGATATGAATGCTGATTCTATGGCAGGGCCTGATGGTTATACTGTTAAGTTTTTTCAACATTCGTGACATTTTGTTTGTGAGGATGTTTATGGTGCAGTTGTAGATTTTTTTAATGGTTCTCCCATTCCAAAGTTTTTCTCTTCTACCTCTATTTCTTTGATTCCTAAGAGTAATGAGGTTAATTCTTGGAATGACTTTAGGCCTATTAGTTTGTGTTCTATTTTTTACAAATTAATCTCAAAAATTTTGGTGAACCATCTTTCTTTACTTCTTCCTAATCTTATCTCTCCTAATCAAATGGGGGTACGGTCGTGCTATTGTTGATAACATCCTGCTTGCTCAATAATTTTGTCAGGACTTGGACGATAAAACTAGAGGGGGGAAGATGATTTTGAAGCTTGATATTGCCAAGGCTTATGACAATATTAATTAGAGCTTTATTTATAACATGTTGAGATTTTTTGGTTTTGATGATAAGTTTATTTCTCTTATTAGCATGTGTATTGAAAGCCCTTATTTTTCTATTATCCTTAATGGTAAATGTCATGGTTTTTTTAAATCTTCCCATGGTTTGAGGCAAGGGGATCCTATCTCTCCGGTGATTTTTATTCTTGTTGTGGATTACTTGTCGAGAGGGATTTCTGATTTGTTTTGTAAATTTCCTAGACTGTACTTTAAAACTTTTGGTGGTATTAACATTTCTCACTTATGTTTTGCTGACGATTTCATTGTTCTTATGAATGCTTCTAAGAACGGCATCCCTAAAGTTTTGGGTTTATTTAACCAATTTGAAGCTGTCAGTGGCCTTGTCTTTAACAAAGTTAAAAGTGGGTTTGTTATTTCTAAGAAAGTTCCTCATACTAGGATTGTGGATATCAAGGACCTTACGGGTTTCTCCCAAGCTCTTTTGCCTTTAAAGTACTTAGGGATTCCTTTATTTAAAGGTAGAAAGAAGTCTTTTCTTTTTGATGATTTAATTTCCAAGGTTCATAATCGGTTGGTTACTTGGGATTCTAAGTTTTTGAGTTATGTAGTAGGCTTGTTCTTATCAAAAGTGTGCTTGCCTCTATCCCGGTTTACGCTTTTCAAATGCTGTTTCCCACTAAGATGGTCTGTTTGAGGATTGATAGAATTTTCAATAAATTTTTTTGGAGGGGTTCCTCTAGCAACTCTAAAATTCATTGGTCGTCCTGGGCTAACTTTGCACTTTTACTAAAGATGGTTTTTTGTCTACTAAAGAAGCTTGGCATGTGTTTAGAAACATTAAAACTTCTTCCAAGCCTTTTAAAATAATGTGGCATAAGAGCATTCCTACCACTGTTTCTGTCTTTAATTGGAGAATCCTTAAGAAGTTTGTTCCTACGGATGACCTTCAAAGGAATAGAGGTTTGTTTATCACTTCTAAATGTCAATGTTGCTCTAATTTTGAAACTCTTCAACATGTGTTTGTTTCTTCTCCTATTGCTGTTAAGGTATGGAATTACTTTGAGGATTTATTTCATGTTAACTTTTGGGGTCCTAACTGTTCTGTGCTTAATTTGTTAGAGGACTGGAAGGTTTGTGTTAAGGACCATATTCGTAATATCATCTTTCTTCTTATTATTTGGTTTATCTGGTTAGCTAGAAATTACTCTCATTTTAATAGTAAGTTTATGGATCATCAAAGTATTATTTCTAGAATTAAGGAGAAAGTTTTTGCTCTTTTTTCGGCTAATCTTTTATCGTTCAAAAGCTTTAATAAGGTTTTATTTACTTTGGAGGGTTTTGGGATTAGCCCTGCCTATCCCCAGCATACCCCGGTTAATAGGATTTTATTTTGGTCTTGCCCGCATATTAATTGTTTTAAGCTAAATATTGATACTATTCTGGTTGGGAATAATTGGTGCATTGGTGGCTTAATTAGGAACTCTTATGGGCAGCATATTATGGGTTTTGCTGGGAATTATGGGGTTGTTGATAAGATGAGTGGGTTAATCTTGGCTGTCTTGCATGGCCTTTATCTTTGTGTTAGTCTGGATATTCATAGTATTGTTGTGGAAGACAATTTTAACATTGATCTTAAAGTGTTGATGGGTGTGGATGGTAGCAACTGTGGGCATTCACTATTTTATACCCGCAGGAACATTATGTTTTTCCTGGATTTTATGAACTGCTCTTTTAATGTTGTTGAACCTGAGGTTAATTCTGTTGCTCGTGCTATGGCTTTGTTTGGCAGCCGTTTTAATGGCATCTCTGATCTTTCTTTCTTGAATCTGGCAGTGCAGATTCAAGCTTTGATTAATTTGGATAAGAATAGAGTTCCTTATGTTTCCGGTTTGTAGTTTCTGTCTGGTTGGCCATTCCTTTTCTCTGTTTTCTGGTTTGGTCTTGGCCTGTGGTTGGCTGGGGTTGTTTGGTTTCAAGTTTAATGATGTTGTTTGCTTAGCTGCTGGTGTTGTTGGTGTGTTGTATTTGGGTGTTTTTCCATCGCCCGGCTCAACGGCTTCTTTTGAGCCCTCTTGTTTTATCTGGGTTGCTCAGGGCGGTGCTTTTTGGGGCCTTCAGTGCTGGCCTTTTTTCGGTTGAGGTGTTATTTGGCTAGGCTTCGGGGATTCCAGGGAGTTTCTCCTTATGTGTATCATTTTGTATTTTTGTTTTGGCAGTTGGCTTAATCTTTCCTCTAGTACCTTTGTTTGCCTGTTTTGCAGGTTTTTGGCGCATCGTGCTCGTTTTGTGCAGGGTACGTGTGCTGAACGTGGGATTCTGCGGACTGTGTTTTTCTTTTCCCTTTGATTTTGGGATTTTAGAATGTTACTAGTTTACTTTGTATTTTTGATTAGTAGGGATTTCAGGCTCTTAGGTTTTCCTTTTAATTTTGTTTGTAGCTCTTATGAGCAGTAGCGAGCTAGAAATCCCTTTAAGGATGGTGTAATTTTCCCCTTAATTAACACGTAAGCCCGTCGGTGGGAACTAAAAAAAATGATAAATACTAGACATCAAATATAAAATCTTGCAATTGAAACTAAAATATCCAACCACCAGAACAATATAGGCTGTCTCCAAAAAATTCCAATGTAATATGGTGTTATTATTGTAGACTACGGCATCATTCACAAGAACTTCAAAGAATAATGAAGGAGAAACCTCAAAAAAACAACACCCCGAAATCTGCGATGTGCATGGCTGCCAGACTGACACCAGATAAATCGGAGAGAATGCTTTTGTATTTGAGAGCACTCAACTGGATAACATGTGCAGGTTCTGTTTCACATCTGAACGGCTGCTTGTGAAAGAACTCTCGAAGAACTTGTAGGACCTCCGGTATGTTAGTGAAAGCTCCGACGAGCACGACCTCATCCACGGCTTCTTGCTCCACTCCGGCTTCCATTAAGCACGACATGATTCCGCTGCGCAGATGGTTGAGATTCATCTCCACCAACCATGCACGACTGAGTGTTTCTATCACCTCCCTGCCTTGTCGCTCAAACTTAATCTCCACGGAATCCAAGCCCATACAGAGGGCATTCTTGGCGCGCTCGCATTTCTTATAGAGGTCAATGAGAGCCTCGACGTCGCGGGTGAAGTCGAATTCGAGGTTCGACGAAAGCTCTGAAAGCAGGACGTGGAAAAGTGGGCAGCCCAAGTCGGAAACGGTGGCCATTACAATTAGATCTAAATCTACGTTGATCAGAGAGATTTCAAGAATGCAATCACTGAGTTCGAATACGAGGACGGTTTTTGGTTTGGGTCCGATAGAGTCGTAATGGGCGGCGGCAAGAACCGGTCTTTCGATGAAATGCAGAGCGTGAGCTCCGGCAGCGGCGGCGGCGTCAGAGACTCGTGATTTAAACTGGGGGGAGTTGCTGCTGGCGGGGAGGATGAAAAGGATGTTATCAACTCGGCCGCTGGTGATGCGATCCAATTCGTCTTTCTTTTCCTTGAAACGTAGGGCACTGACTTGGGCGGGAGTAAGGAGTATTTGCTCGTTATCGGCTTGGGTGATCACGTAGCGAGTGCCGTCGGGGGAGACATAACTCCTGTAAGGGTTCATGCGGCGGATTAACCATTGTTTGCTGGCGACGGAGTGTAGGTGGACGATGCAGTTGTCGGGACAGCGGTTCATGGCGGGTTTCTTCTTCTTCTCTTGCCTTCTTGGCTTCTTGGCTTCTTGGCTTCAGGAAAGAGGAGGATTTGCTGGTTTTTTAAGTGGGAGTGTTGTTTTAGCGAGGGAATGCAACTTCGGTTAATTTTGGAGCCTTTCCTACGGTTTTATATAGAAGGGAGATTTATATTAATACCGTTATTTTTTTTCTATTTATATATTTAACATCAAATTTTTTAAATTTATTTATATGATACTGAATATTTATTTATTTTTATAATATTAAATATAAAAATATTACTAAATTTAAATATGTAAAACACAACCTAAAATCACACAAAACATCTCTAATAAAATTCTGTAGTGAATGTATCTATGATTGAGGTGGATGCTAAACTTTTAATTTATATTTTTAAGGATGGTAATGCTGGCAATCCTCAAGATTTTAACACTATTAGAAAAATTAGAATGTCTATGTCTAATCTTAATTATTCTATTTCTCACATTTTTCGTGAAGGTAATATGTGTGCGGATTGGTTAGCCAAACTTGGTTGTCATAGTGATACGTATCATGAATTGAATGTTGATAATCTTGCTCCTTTCCTTAGAGGGATTATAACCCTGGACTTCCTTACATTCGTCATGCTTGAATCCCTTGTTTTGGCTTTTCTGTGGTTTCCTTTCTGTTCAGTGTCTGATAGTTTCCTTGCAGGTCCGTTCCTTCATGCTCGGTATCTCTGGAACTCTGAGATTTTTGGATCCTTTGTTCTTATGGATGATTTTTTTTGGGTTTTTTGTGGCCGTTTGTTGTTGTCCTTGGATGTTGAATGAAATTGTTTTTTGCATCAGTTTTTTTTAGGATGCTCGTTTTTTATTTATGGCTAGGCTGCTTCAGGGGTTTAAGTAGTCTAGCTAGCTCGTGAGAATGGTGTATCTATTTCTTTGTTACCTCCTTAATATTTGTTGTTCTAGACACACTTGGATGTGTTTTTTTGTGCTTAGCTCGACTCACAGAGATGCCATATTTTCTTTGAGGTTTTCTCCTCCCACGATTTTCTCTTTTAAGGTTACTCCTACTCTCCAGCATATGAATATTAAAACTTGGGCCGATACCAATACCAATATAAGTATCTATCTTGCTCTCATCTTCCTCACATATTCATCTCCTCTTTAGCTCTAAGAAGCCGCCAAGGTGATTTTAGGGCTTCCTCCTTTCCGTCTTCGTTCGGTCGATTTCTCCTCTGATCTTCAACCTTTCTCACTGTTTTCTAGCGATCTTTGTGCCCTTGCTTTTCTCTACGTGCTTTGGCCCCTTTTGGGGGTATTTTTCTGCCGCAATGTCTTCAAAAAATCCGTGGGGAAAGGTGTCTACCCTGATTCTTGGTAAAAGCAAGGGCTTTTTCAACCTCGATGGTGAGGAGCAAGCTAACTCTCCGTCTCGGTCTTTTAAAGACGTTTTAGCTGGAAACCCTTTGCAAGGTGATAATGTTCCTAAATTTACTCAATCTGTTATTAATGGAGTGCCGCCTGTGCTGATTTCTGATGAAGATATTCTTAAACTTGCTTCACCTTTTAAATTTACTTTGGTTGGTAAGTTTAATTTACGAAGGCCAAATCTGGATACTATTCATCTCTTTTTCGCTAACCTAAAGCTTTCGAGTTTTTACTCTGTTGGTTTACTGGATTCACTACATGTTGCCATTCAGCTTTCAAATGATTCGGATTATAGTAGAATTTTTGCAAGAAGATCTTATTTCATTAACAACTGTCAAATGAAGTGTTAAAATGGACTCCTTTTTTTGACATTCATGAAGAATCTCCTATTGTTCCTATATGGATTTCGTTTCCAAACTTGCGTTTACATTTTTTTAACCCTAAAGTATTACATGCGCTTGGTTCTATTTTTGAAAGACCTTTACAAACTGACCAGGCAACTGCGTCCAGAACTCGACCTTCGGTGGCTAGAGTTTTGGTGGAAGTGGATATCTCCAAAAAACATGCTAAAGAAATCTGGGTTGGTTCCAAAGATTTTGGTTACATGCAAAAGGTGGAATTCGAGAAGGTTTCGGAATTTTGTTCTCACTGTAAAATGCATGGGCATGGTTCATCCGAATGCTTTAAACTGCATCCAGAACTTAAAAAAACCGTGAACAATAATGCTGAAAATCTTAATTTAACTGCTAAGATAAATAGCCCGATGGAAGTTGACCAAGTTTTGGTTAATAATATTATGAGTCCTAAAAATTGTAATGATATTTCTCTTCTTAAGCCGATTTTTCCTGAAACTGATATTGAACATACTGTTTTAAATAATGAGGAAGGTGCTAATTCTGGTAAGAAGGAAGATTATGTTCCTAACTTATATATTTCTATTGATTCGATGCTTCTAGAGGCTAATTTACCTAAGGATAAGATTGCTACTCGCACCAATTCTATTGCCACTGAGGAGCGCTATGGAGAGGACGGAGGCTCCGATCGGCACAAGATTGCTCACATTCCTGATATCTTTATTCGTTAATGAAAATTTCAAAATACATAAGCAAACTTCTTTCTTTCTTATCTTATTTGATTGATATATATATATGAAATGTGAATAATGTAATCTCAGCATCAACCAGTTTATATGTACTCAATTTTATTTATGTATCACTTCATTGTCCTTTTATATACTAATACAAATACATGTGCACATAATACAAGTGAATAAAAAATAAAATATATATAAATTTTTTTTAAAAACTATATATGATATGCTATATCAAAAATATTAAATTATATATAAGGTGATTTATACTTGTATTATATTTGAATTAAGATAAATTGAAATACATATATCATATAGCACCATGTGGTGTACATGAATTGGGTTCGTCAGTGCTCTCGCTCTTTCGCTCTAAGGCGTCGCCAAGGCGATTTTAGGGTTTCCTCCTTTCCATCTTCGTTCGGTCGATTTCTCCTCTGATCTTCGACCTATCTCTCTGTTTTCTAGCGATCTTTGTGCTCTTGCTTTTCTCTTCGTGCTTTGGCCCCTTTTGGGGTTTTTTTTTTCTGCCGCGATGTCTTCAACAAATCCGTGGGGAAAGGTATCTTCCCCGATTCGTGGTAAAAGCAAGGGCTTTTTCAACCTCTAAGGTGAGGAGCAAGCTGACTCTCTGTCTCGATCTTTTAAAGACGTTTTAGCCGGAAACCCTTTGCAAGGTGATAATGTTCCTAAATTTACTCAATCTGTTCTTAATGGAGTGCCGGCTGTGCTGATTTCTGATGAAGATATTCTTAAACTTGCTTCACCTTTTAAATTTACTTTGGTTGGTAATTTTAATTTACGAAGGCCAAATCTGGATACTATTCGTCTCTTTTTCGCTAACCTAAAGCTCTCGGGTTTTTACTCTGTTGGTTTGCTGGATTCACAACATGTTGCCATTCAGCTTTCAAATGATTTGGATTATAGTAGAATTTTTGCAAGAAGATCTTATTTCATTAACTATCAAATGAAAGTGTTAAAATGGACTCCTTTTTTTGACATTCATGAAGAATCTCCTATTGTTCCTATATGGATTTTATTTCCGAACTTGCGTTTACATTTTTTTAACCCTAAAGTCTTACATGCGCTTGGTTCTGTTTTTGGTAGACCTTTACAAACTGACTAGGCAACTGCCTCCAAAACTCGACCTTCGGTGGCTAGAGTTTTGGTGGAAGTGGATATCTCCAAAAAACATGCTAAAGAAATCTGGGTTGGTTCCAAAGATTTTGGTTACATGCAAAAGGTGGAATTCGAGAAGGTTTCGGAATTTTGTTCTCACTGTAAAATGCATGGGCATGGTTCATCCGAATGCTTTAAACTGCATCCAGAACTTAAAAAAACCGTGAACAATAATGCTGAAAATCTTAATTTAACTGCTAAGATAAATAGCCCGATGGAAGTTGACCAAGTTTTGGTTAATAATATTATGAGTCCTAAAAATTGTAATGATATTTCTCTTCTTAAGCCGATTTTTCCTGAAACTGATATTGAACATACTGTTTTAAATAATGAGGAAGGTGCTAATTCTGGTAAGAAGGAAGATTATGTTCCTAACTTATATAATTCTATTGTTTCGATGCTTCTAGAGGCTAATTTACCTAAGGATAAGATTGCTACTCGCACCAATTCTATTGCCACTGATACTAATGAGAAGGAAGATTGTGAAGATGGAGAATTTATTCCTTCTAATGATTCCGATTTGGTTTTTAATAAGGATCAACAAGGTTTGAATGAGAATACTGGTAATGTTATTTTGGAGAATAGTGAGGAAGATGTTTCTAGCTCTAATACTTTGGAGGAGGAGAATTTTATAAAAGTTAACAAGAAAAAAGGAAAAAAAACATAAGGAAATTTGTTTTTCTACACCTCGGTCCTCTTTCGTCTATGCTGCCTGTACGAGAATGGGTCGTCTTTCTTTGTGGGAACAAATCATTGACTTTGCTACTAGTTCTAGTGGGCCTTGGTGTGTTGGAGGTGATTTCAATATTATTTCTAATGCTAATGAGCGATTAGGTGGTTCTCTTCCTAATACTAAATCTATGGATGAATTTAACTCTATGATATCACTAAATGATTTACAAGATATTGGTTTTTTTGGTAGCGCTTTTACTTGGAGTAGAGGTAATCTTTGGCAACAGCTTGATAGAATTTTATTTAATAATGATTGGATTGCTGATTTTCATATGACACATGTTCAACATTTAAGTAGAACTGCTTCTGATCATGCCCCGTTACTTCTTACTATTAATGCTAACAAGTTTTTGGCCCCTTCTGGTTTTAAATTTCAAAATATGTGGTTAAATGATGATGGCTTTCTTAATGTAATTCAAGAAAATTGGCATGCTCTTACTTATCCTGATAATAATTTGTATGGTATGGATAAGTTATGGCACAAGATTGGTAGATTGAAACAGGTCCTTGGATGGTGGAATAAGCATGTTTTTAAAAATCTGTTTATTAATATTAAAGAAGCGAAAAATGTTGTGCTTGAGCTAGAAAA